TCTCGCGCAAATATCCTTCGGAACTCCTTCGCCCGGAGGTCATGCCAAGTCTGCCTTTCCTGAATGCGGTCAAGGATGCGGTCGATTCCAAGCAGCTCTCCTGGATTTCATGGCGACTTCGGACGAGTGAGTCAGATGAACAGGCTCTCACCGAGCGACGCAAGCCGCGCACGGACTCGCAGATGCTACAGTCTCTGCTCGGTCCGGTCTCGGATGAACTTGTGGTGGATGTTCCGCAGCACCTTCCCCTTGAGTCTGTGATTCGTCGATACCTTGACCGCATGTCTTATGCCCTAGCGGTTCTTGATGCCTGCCACTTACTGACTCTGAAGAAACTCTCGGAGAAATTTGTGAGCCTGGCGACAGCGATCCCGATTGACCGTTCCCTGCGAGGACCCACGCTGGCAGAGGCTATGGATGCCGATCGTGTGCTTTGGAGTGCCATCTGCTCCTTGCAGAAGGAATACGGCTGGTCTTTGCAGGATTGTGTCTCTGAATTGACGCATGTCCGTTCGGACCTTCACAACGCTTTGGCTCCGCGGCCGAAGATGCACCAGGGTGGAGGTGAGCCTCGCGGCAAACGCCAGCGCGCTGAACCGCCGCCCGCTCCGCATCCAAATCCTCGAGCCAAAGCCAAGAGCAAGGCCAAGCCACGCAAGAGTGCGGACGCGGGTTCCTCCAAAGATCGCATCTCCATCAGCAACTGGCCGAGCAATTGGGCTCGCCAAACAGCTTTGTGCGCCCGGGATCCATGTTGGCACTCGGACGCGAGGTCGAGTATGTCCGGCCTGTTGGATAAGAAGAGCCAGCGCTTGGACACATCCATGCCGTGATGACAAGCGGCAACTTGGGCACCGAATGAAAGTGTGCTGGATATCCACTGTTGCATGGTTTCTGTCAAAAAAGTCATGGAAGATGGCGGCTGTTCAAAAACAATGCAGCCTCCGAGAGCCGCGACACTGGAGAGAAGCTCCCGACATCGATCATGAAGTAAAGCACTGTTCTGAGCCACCATAGATTGGTGCCAATCATTGGAAAGACAACCGAGCGGCTCCTCCGGTGTGCGGCACGGGGGCGGTCCGCCCGGTCGAAGTTTGAGAAGGCTGAATTCCCCGCAGGGCGGAGACGCTATGGCCGCTCCCACCACGCCGCTGGAGCAGAGCGCCAGGAGTTGAGCAAAAAATTCATCATCCAGAAGGTCGAAATCCTGGCAATGAATGATGTCAACTGGTTGAAAGCAGTCCTTGCCCAAGGCTTGCATAGCCGCACTGACAGGAGCCCCGGCCCCGGAACAAATATCCAGAAAGAAACGCCCCGAATTGCAGTCGCAGACAAAGTCGGAATCAGGCAATTGGGGCAAGTCAGGGCAAATCCCTGGCCGGAGTTGGTGGCCGGAACCGACCGCACTGACGGAGTTGGGCCGTGGGAGCAAGTCCCGCTGATCCTCAGTGAGTGCAAGAGCACGAGGGGCAATGGGCAAAGCACCTTTCACAACCGAAGGGGAAGGAGGTCTAAACCCTAGGGAAAAAAGGCGGGCGGAAGTATTGGCAGCCAGCGACTCGCAAGCTCGAAGTGTGTAACCCACTAGAACCAGACGGCGGCCTTCAAAGGGCAGGACTTCATGAAGGCAAGACGAGGCAGTGAAGATCACCGGGCCGCGACACACTGGTAGGGAGACAGCCGGGTGCTTGACGCCATCATGTACCATCACATCGGCCCCGGAGGGGTGCGCAACCCGCAACTCACCCCCGGAGAAACATGAAATGGGAATGACCACATTGGGCAGGTCCGAGTTGGCTGTGTCACAATGCGCCTCGGAGGCAATGCCGTCGATCAAGACAAAAGATGAGTGGAAAAACCCTGGTGCCATTGAAGAAATAAGCGAATTCAGAACTCGCACCGATGAAGGGTGTGACCCGCATACCTTGCGCAGGCCAACCTTGATCCGATGGTAAAGACCAGCCGAGACCGAAGCCCCACTAGAGAACCGATCATCAAGGTCAGGTGCTTCTTGCAGCAAAAGGTCAGCGAGCCTCTCAACGCTTTTACACGATAAGGCCACTGATTCGGACAAAATTGAATCTGCGAAAGACTCAGCCTCAGACTGAGAGGTCCCATAGACCACAGGGGCAAAATCAGGCGGGGGATCAAGGTCCATGCCATCCTCCACCGCTGCCCGTCAATGGGGGGCAGCATTATGCGCGGACGCAGGGTGAGCAGCCCCACAGGGCTTCCCATCAGATCCAAGGATCGGGCACTTGTGACTGAAACGGCATGATTTGTTTCTGCACTTATCCGTTTGATAGCGGATACACGCACCGACCCTGATGATGGAAGTTTCCTTAGCCGAATACGGCTGCGTACCCTAAATCGCTGGCTGCCGCTTTGGCTGCGCTTCTGGGAAGGTACACATCGTCTCAGGGCCGGCTGCTTCCCTGTGCAGAGTGGCGCTCTGTTCTGCCCCTGGACCCAGTTTGGCCTCAGCTGGGTCGCCGCATTGAGGATGGGGCAGGTGTCAATAGTACAGCGTGCTGGATTACTCCGCAAGCTGATGACCACCTTGCAGGTCTCCGTAAGAAGTGGACGCAGCGTCTGGTCGACAGTCGTCTCTGTCTCCGCATCTGTTCCACGTTGCAGGCTGGTACCGATAGTCCACCAATCAGCGCAGAGGAGCTTCAGCCTTTTCTCGATGACCTGTGTTGCTCTTGTGAGGTTCCTGCAACAGAGGTCGAGAATTTTCTGTCGATTCAACCGGGACAGCCTTTCCGCTTGAACGTCCTTGAGAAGCTGCTGGCTGTTACTAAAGACCCTGAAGCGGATCTATGCCAGCATCTCCGGAAAGGTGTGCGAATTGGTGTGGACCACGAACTGCAGCCCTCGCCTCACTGGCCACTTCGCACTGCGGATCCGATTGTGTCGGACCTTGTGATTTGCGAAGGTTCTTGGAAAAGTGCCTCCGACCACCCGGAGCAGGTCCGGGAGCTCCTGGCTCAGGAAATCGCTGAAGGCTGGATCGTGGAGAGACCTTCGGTTCAATACCTGCATGATCACTTCCCGGCGGTGGCTATCGGCAAACTTGGACTGGTTCTGGCGGAAGGTAGGTCGCCTCGACTCACGGTCGACAGCTCGATTAGTGGTGTCACGGCTGCTTGTCAGATTCCAAATCACATGCTGCTGCCACGCATATCCGACGTTGAGGATTGCGCTCCCTCCTGCCTAGGCCGCCAACCTTGGATCACGGTTTCTTTGGATGTGCGCAAGGCTCACCGCATGGTCATGGTGGAACACTGTGACCAGGCTCTGCTGGCCTTCACCTTCGAAGGACGCGTCTTCACGTCCAGCACCCTTAATTTCGGGGCCAGAGCATCCGCTTTTTGGTGGGCCAGAGTTGGTGGAGCCCTGCTTCGTTTGTCGCACGCAGCGATCTGGCTTTCGCATCTGCTTTGGGGCTACGTGGACGATTTTTTGGGAGGTTTCCGCGGCGATGTGGCTCCGATCTCTGCTTCCATTTGGATTCTCTTGCTCCTAGCACTGGGAGTACCACTTTCTTGGCCAAAGTGTGTCTGGTCGTCGGAGTGCATTTGGATTGGATGGTCCATCAACCTTGAAAGCTGGGTTTGCGAGCTTCCGGCTGCGAAAATTTCCAAAATTCTTGATCAAATCGCTGAGCTACTTTCTGCTGGGGACAAGGTCAAGTTCAAAACTTTGGAATCACTCATCGGACGCCTATTGTGGGTTACCGGCTTGTGGACGGTGCTTCGGCCTTTGCTGTCCCCATTGTATGCAGCTCTGCAGCGCTTACCAGCTTCCTCGGTTGGTGTCAGCCCTGAACTGTGGGCTGCGATCAAGCGCAACATCGCTGAGGATTGCGTGCTGACCCGCTCTGTTGGGCACCCGTCCTTCCATAAACGCGCTTGCATTACCCGTGCGGCCAATACATTTGTCCTGGGCATCCGCTGCGAGTCCTCGGGGATGTCGGCAGGTCAAGCTTAATTGCATGGCGTGCCATTTTCCAGGGCACCCCCTTCATGAAGGCGCTTCGTAGCCCGCTCCCGCTGAAGGTCATCGCGGAGGCGGATGCCTTTGCCGATGCGGAGGTGTCTGGGTTAGGAGGCTACGCCATGTGGCCCAGTGGTCGCACTGTCTGGTTTTCTATTTCCATTAGAAAAGACAGTCAGGAGTGGGCTGCTCTCACTTCGTGGTTCCCTCCGCCCCTCCAGGCGCATATTTCGGCGTTGGAACTCCTGGCTCAATTACTGCTGCTTTGGTGCGTCTTCGCCACTCTGCCTTCCAATCGTGGACTCTGTCGGGCTTGCCTTCGATCGGACAACTCCGGTGCAGAGGCCTGTGCCTCCAAGGCCCTTTCCTCGGTGCTGTCCATGAGCGAGATTGTCAAGAAGTTCCTTGCGTTTCAGGCGTGGTCTGGTGTCCAAGCGGAGGTCGAGCACATGTACCTGGGTATCGCAATGAACTTGCAGATGCGCTCAGCAGGCTTACACCTACTGACATTGCACCCTTGCCCCTGGGTGACCGTGTGCATCCGCCTTTGCAATGGCTTCTTGAGCAGCGGCTCTTGCTGGAACCTGCTTCGGCCTCGTGGCCGCCTCCTTTCAAGACTTGGATGAGTAGTCCCTGAGTGCGATGTTTTATTATCATTTCCACATATTTGCAGGCTTGATCGCCAGCGGCGAAAATACATTGCGGTACGCTTCACTGTGTTGTCTGAAGCCTTGTTGCAGAAAGCTGCTCTTTTGCCATGCCGTGCACGCGTGGGAGATGTGCGACCGGGTGATCTTCAGCACGCTTGCTGACGTCGATCATGCGTGCCGCCCCGGCCGTGAAGATTGTTGCCGGCTCCTTTCTTGCACTCTGCTGCGGACTTTGAGCTCCGGCTTGACGGTGTCCGTTCCAAAATCTGTGATGTATGACTGCTGCCGGCCTCGCTTGCCTTCCGCAGTCTTTTGCTTACAGTATCCAGGGTCTTCTTGCATTGCACTAACATGTCGGGCCACTCGGTGGAATCTTCTTCCCGTCTGTCCGGTGATGCTCCAGAGTCGTCTCCTTGTTCGGGGCCGGTTCTACGGGAGGCTGATCTTGGAGCGTTGGGGGCCTGTCCCCCGCCGTGTCTCCAATGCGATCTCCTTCGTGCGGAGGTGCTGATGCTACGTGCTGAAGTTGCGAGCCTGCGCAATTCCAGCTTGGCCGCACTCTCAAATGCGATCTATGCCTTACAGGGCCAGCTCAACGAGGTTCGCCCACGTGGCGAGGATGACCATTTTTCATTCGTGTTCACGGCGGTCGAAGAGAACACCGCAGCTCGCCTGCTGCGCTCGCCTTTGGCGAATGTTCGCTGCCTGCGCTATCATGAACAACGTCTGGACGCACTTGTCAATCTCAATGCTGACATTGAACGTCGACTTCGCTTGCTGGACTTGGCATTGTCTCGGGCCTCAGGCTAGCTCTGACGCCAGGTTGTGCATCCGAGTGAAAACCAGCGAATGTGTTCTGCACTTCATGACATGTTTCCAATTTATTTCGGGTCTTTTCCCCTGTCCGGGTCGCGAAACGATCTTTACTTGGCTTTCGACCCTTTCAAACCCTTCCCCCTGACCAGTGCGTTTCCCCTTTCCCTTTGGAGCTTGCTCTCCACGGTGGGACGGGGTTTTGAACGTTTGCTGCGTTGGCTGGGGGTTTCGTCGGGTTGGTCGATCGTTGACTCGGCATTTCCTTTCGAGAAATGTTCGTTTGTAACCTAGTGCACGTAGTCCCAAGTAGAGTGTGTAGAGTAATCACGAGAACACATGAAACATGTGTGTGAACCGCGACACGAAGGCTTAAGCAAGTCAGCCCGCGAAGTGAGAAAAGTGTGTTAGAGAGTAGAGTGGGAAGGAAGGCTTGAGAAGCCTTTAGTTTCAACATGGTAGCGGAGCTCCCTGATTCAGACCTCTTGGGAGCGATGAAGCTATCACAGGAACAACAGGTAGCTGTCGCCATGGTTTCCTTGGCATTGGCTTTTTCGCTGATGTGTCTGGCGAGAAGCTTTGTGAAAGAACTTGTGAGAAAGGAGACAGTGGAGCGCGTTGCTCCGGCTGAGGAAGAGCTACCAGAACTCTGGTACTCGCCTTACGGAGAGAAGACCCACACTTCAGGAAGATGTCATGGCCTCAGGAACGCAACCAGTGTACACCGAGTACTACCATGCAAGTACTGTTGCCCCGGTGGACTTCGATCCCGGGAACAACGCACCTTCGAGTACAAGAGAACCTTTTTGGAAGCAGCAGGAAAGTACCTTTGGCTAAAAGTCTTCATGGTTGTGGTTCTCATGGGCATGTCATGGTTCATGGTGTTTGAAGTGAACGAGACCTACGGCTACCCGTTGGCCACGAACCGCATGCTGAACTACAGGAACAAGGTCCTCAGCCTCGATAACAAGAACCCCAAGAAGAAGCATGTGATAAAGGAGATTACCCCAGCGGATGTTGTACCTGCCGGGAAGAGCCAAGAAGGTGATCACACAGAACTTTTCACGTTGTGGTCGCATCTACATGAGCCCAATACCGAACCGAGAACGAGAACGAGATCAACGTCACGAGCTACCTCAAGAAGACGAACGTGTACTCCGAGTTCTACAAGAACAAAAGAAAAGGAACAAAGTTGCAACTACAGTTTTTATGAAGGTGATGTCGCGGAGTATAACGAGAACCTAAAGAACGAAGAAGTGCCCCACGTGAACTACTACAAGAACCTTGTGTTTGAGTTGGTCTTGGAGTTTCAAGAGTACCTTGCGAAAGCAGGAAGAAGCCTTGAGCCCGTCGTGAGCTACGTCGTGCGCACGTGTCACCCAGTACTACTTCTACTTGGGACCCCGCTTGGTATGGTCACTTGGATCTACCTCTATTTTTGGGTCAGAGTTAAGCAAACAAAAAGAGAACAGTTGAAGAAGAAAGTTTCGAGAAGGAAGTTGCACAGGTCAGTTTGCAGCGTTCTTTTCAAGAAGCGAGTCTGGTTGCATGTTGTGTTGCTTTACAGTCACATGCAGAGTGCAGTTGCGATGGAGGAAGCCTTGCAAAGGCTCACGGACCTTACTGCCCAAAACACACAGCAGATACAAGCACTTGCCCAAGCAATGAACAGTCAGCAAGCACAGGCAGGTACCGCTTCACAACAATTACAGGAACTCGCGCAGTCAGTTTCACAACAGCAAAGAGCAATTACGGAAGCAACCCAAGCAACCAACACAGCATTGTCACAACAAGCAGAGCTTACTGCAAACGCGGTTGCAGCAACAGGAAAGCTTACAGCAGACGCAGTTACAGCACTGTCGCAGCACGCAGAGTCAAGAAGGCCAGGAGAGATCGACCTCCACAAGAGTTTACTCCTTTAAACTTCCCGAAGCAGAAAGGATGAACTCCTTATTCAGTTTTGCACAAATTTCATGTTTGTTTTAAACTGAAATTAGGAATCACGTTTGCAAGTTTTCCGGGCAGTGAGATGAAGTGTGGCTCCGGCGACTTTCCTCTCAAGTGTGGGCACGGGGAAAACTTGTAGGGCTAGGGATGGCCGCGCGCCGTCGCGAGCTGCCTCCGGTGCCACATCGGCGCCTTCTTCTCTTGTTTCTCGAGGAGGAAGAGGAGGTCCGGGGCTGGCGCAGTGAGATTCGTGCGTTGGACCTTGTCAATTTTCTGGGCGCTTCGCGTACGAATAGCTTGCTGCTGCGTTTTCTGGGCCTAGACTTTTCTTACGAGCTTTTCTGCGTCAACAGAGCTGTCCGAGTCATTTTGCTGGCTACTTCCGATTTTGCGGCTGCCGACGCGCGTCGCCTTCGGCTTCGCTACTTCGGTCTCCGCTGATGCAGTCGGAAGCCGAGCCTTCCGATGCCGAAGATGGTCTGCCCTTGACATTCTTTTGGAAAGGGGTGGATGGAAGGTCTTCGGGGCAGCTTGGTGAAAATGCTGTGCCTTGCGATCTCCTTGAGGATGCCTCTCAGGCCGCAGGTGTGGCACACGGGGAGCATCTGGAGATAAACTCAGTTGATGGGGCTTTTTCTGCGAACTTAGATGTTTTCGAGGAAGATGTTTGGTCCTGTGGGAATTCCGCTGCGGAACGAGACTGGTATAAAGTTGATTTGTCGGAAGATGGTGCTGCTCTGCCTTCAGAGGATTCAGTGGGCCTTCCGGCTGAAGCTCATGGTTTGGGCTTGTCATCTGCGGCGGCAGGTTCTTCTGCTGCTTCTGCTAGAAATCTGGACAGGTCGATGGCGGCAGCTTTCCAAACTTTGGATGTTCCTCAAGTAAAGCAAGTCTGGGAGAATGATTTCTGGGGAAGTATTTTTACTCCTCAGTCAGAGGATTCCTTCCGTGGGTTTTATGGAACTGGCTTCAAGAGGCCTCTGCAGCCTGGCGTCCCAGAAGGCGTCTTGGAGCAACCTTCCAAAAAAACCCGCAGAGGGCGGGAAGGGTCGTCACTAGAATTTTCGAGATGGCCGTTGTCAACAGAGTGGTTGCATCATGGAAGCAGCAGCGCGAGGAACAGCTTTTGGAAGCGGTCTGTGCTTGGGCTGTTTTCATTGGCAGATGGTCTGAAGGTGTGCAGGTGCGGGATCAGCTTTGTGAACTTCCCACTGACGATGAAAGGAAGGCCATGACTTACGATGTGCTGGGTGCAAAGGCCCCGGGAACACTTCGCAAGAGGTTAAGGAGTCTCTTGAAGTATGAAGCTTTCCTTCGTCAGAAGAAGCTGGTTTTCCCTGCAAACGAGATTTTACTTTACATGTTCCTCTGTCTTGAAAGGGATGGGGGTGCCAGCTTATCTTCGCGAAAGGCTACGTATGAAGCAGTGGTTTTCTGCAGATACGTCCTGGGGGTAGAGGAGCTGGACCTATGTGTCAAGAGCAGGCGTTGCCTTGGCAATGCGTGCCGTGGCGAGGTGAGGCCGAGGAACAGGGCTTCGCCGCTAACGGTAGATGAGCTCTCCCTTCTGCGCGACCGGCTGGAGAACGCACAGGACCCGTGGGACCGCGTTTTCGCTGGAGCAGTTTTGCTGTGTGTATATTCGCGGTCAAGATGGTCAGACCTGATGCATGCAGAGGGAATTATCTATGATTATGACAACCAGAAGAATCTTGCCTATGTGGAGTGCCCCGTGGCATACCATAAGAATATGAGGAGCCGAGTTATGCGGCATGATCTGCTTCCTATGGTGGCTCCTGGCCTGGGAGTTGCGGGTTCCAACTGGGCGAGGCTGTGGAAACTTGCTAGAGAGGAACTCAACATTCCAGATCCTCCGGAATTTCCTGTCATGCCGGCGCCGGACAAGTCTGGTGCTGCTAGTGTCAGGCCGCTGGACACTGAGGAGATGGGCAGGTGGCTGAGACATCTGCTAACGGGTTCGGGATCGAAGCAAGCTGACAGAAAGCTATCATCGCACAGCTGCAAGTGTACCATGTTGAGCTATGCGGCAAAGAGGGGAATCAGTATAGTCGACAGGCAGCTGTTGGGATATCACACGACGCCGCACCGCATGGCCCTGACATACTCCCGTGATTCTGCAGCTCATCCTTTGATGATCTTGGAGCGGATGATCAAGGAGATAAGGGATCGAGTTTTTCTTCCAGATGAGACTCGTAGCGGGCGCTTGGTGGGCAAAGCCGCTGACTCGCAGCAGCGGACAGAGGTAGTTGTGATAAAGGAGGAACATGACCCGCCCTCTCCTAGCGAAGGGGCTGATGCTGCTCATAACCTTGCAGGCGATGAAGAAGCCCTCGACGCTGAGGCCACCGGGCATATCACTACGGACTCTTCCTCCAGCGACTCTTGCCCGGAGGAGGCCGAGGGACCGTTCTCGAAGCTGGTAGTGAATGTTCCCGAGGGTCATGATGTGTGGAGGCACGAGAAGTCGAGAGTGGTGCATTTTGCCCCTACCGGCTACACTAAGGTTTTTGCCTGCGGAAGGGCCATAGGATCTCTGCATGTCAAGATACGGGCAGAGGACCTCCGGTGGGACTTCAGCAAGTGTAGGATCTGCAACAAGAACGTTTGAGCGAGGCGGCTAATAACCGAGTGTGAGCCTTGTTTGCGAGTCTTCAGTTGCATGTTTTCTGCTCGCATGTGCGCACTCCGTGGAGTAGGCTTTGATTTGTTCGCTCGCGGAGGCCCGAGATGTGATCCATGGCAGATTGTTACATGTAAACATGTTGAGAGATTTACATGGAGTTTGAGTGCGTTTTCTCACGTTGTAGGTTGGTGCTGCTAGGGTGCGTAGGTTCCGAACATGTCGACCGTGATCGAAAGCGAGGCTGCCTTTAAGCAGAGATGTGCTGAAGCTTCGAAGGATGCGACTCTGCATACCAAGTTGGAGGCACAAGGCATCAGGTGCTTCAAGACATTGGCTTTCGCGATAGGGTCGCCTCAGCAGCCGCCTACGGAGGCTCAGTTTGACGAATTCAGTGTGAAGGTGTACG